GTGGGGGTTCTGCCAAATGGCTTGGCAGAAGGATAATACTTTAAAATTACATTAAGGCCCAGCCTGAGGAGGGAATAAAGAATGAGAAACAGCTGATGATACAGTTAGTGGGTGGAATAGACTCAGAGTGTCAGAGGACAGGAGGTTATGGTCAGAAAGTAGTAGTGGGTGTGGAAGGATAATGAAGGTGAAGGTCACTGTGGTTGAGAAGATCAAAGAATGTGAGAATGGTATAATCCATATGATCACTAAAGTCCTGCAGAATAATAGCAGGATTTATGGTAAATCAGTGGTTCTCAAATCAGAGTCACTTGGAGGCTTGATAAAAAATAAGACTACTGGGCCCTACTCCCAGAATTTCTATTTGTTAAGTCTGAGGTGAGACCCAAGAATGTGCTTTTCAGCTGCTGGTCTGTAACTATACTTTGAGAATCACTGTGGAAGAGGAAAGATATAGGCAGGAGGCATTAATAAATGACACTAGGGCTGGGAGACTGGAGGCTAAAACATGACAAAGATAAAGAGACGTGGGAGGTGATGTAGCCAAAAATTGATGTACCGATAGGCTCAAAGGAACAGGGATTCTGAGACAAGGTAGAAATATAATGGTTCAGAAAGGACACTGGGAGAGGAGCATGCTCTTCCCGTCTTCCCGAAACTAAGGAAAGTAGGATAAAGGAAAAGTGCATGCTCTGAACAGGCTGCAAGGAAAGGGATGAACTTAAGAGAAGGCCACAGATTAATTAAAAGCAAGAGCAGAGCAGAAATGGACTAAGGATATAGGGGATCCTGTTACCAGAGAAAGAGGGATCCAGAGAACTTGGGAGAACGGGAGCAGTGCTCATTTCTCTCGGTATAGAACAAGAGTAAGCAAAGACCACTTTCAAGCAGCCAGGGAGACTTTTATCTGGGGTCACCCTCTCTTTCCATTCTAATCAAGCTTTCACCTCCACTACTCCACCAAAACTGCTCTTTTCAAGACCAATAACCTTCACACCACCAAATTCAACAATCAATATGAAGTTGTCCTCTTGCTGGATACATCAGCAGCATTTGGCACAACTGATCCTTCTCCTTGGCACAACTCCCTTCTCCTTGAGCTCTTTTTTTTAGTTTGGTGTTTAAAACATGGTTAACTTCTGGGCACCTGGGTGGCTCAGAGGGTCAGGCCTCTGCCTTTGGCTCAGGTCATGATCTTAGGGTCCTGGGATTGAGGCCCACATCGGGCTCTCTGCTCTGCTCAGCCTGCTTCCCCCTCTCTCTCTGCCTGCCTCTCTGCCTACTTGTGATCTCTCTCTGTCTGTCAAATAATTAAATAAAGCCTTTGGGGCGCCTGGGTGGCTCAGTGGGTTAAAGCCTCTGCCTTCGGCTCAGGTCATGATCCCAAGTCCTGGGATCGAGCCCCACATCAGGCCCGCTCAGCGGGAAGCCTGCTTCTCCCTCTCTCTCTGCCTGCCTCTCTGCCTACTTGTGATCTCTGTCAAATAAGTAAATAAATAAAACCTTTAAAAAAACAAAACAAAATATGGTTCACTTCTGTGATGCCTGGGTGGCTCGGTTAAGTGTCTGCCTTCGGCTCCGGTCATGAACACAGGATCCTGGGGTCAAGCCCTGTATCGGGCTCCCCGCTCAGAGGACAACCTACCTCTACCTCTCCCTCTGCCATTCCTCCTGTTTATGTTTTCTCTCTCAAATAATAAATAAATAAATACTTTAAACAAACAAAAACATGGTTCACTTTCTAGTTCAATTCCTACTCATTCCCCATCTCTTCTGATGGGCCCCTATCTTCTAACCTTGAAACACTGAGGTATAGAAAGGCTCTACCCTCCAACCTTTCTTCTCTAACTACACTCACACATTAGGTGACCTCTAGTCTGTTAGAGGACTCAGTGCTGAGAGTTCCCAAATTTAAATCTCCAGTCCAGATCTCTGCCTGAATTTTTAACTCCCTAATTCTCTTAATTTTCTAAACAAGGAGTAGACAAAACAAAACATATCCAAAAACATCTTTTCCAACAAGGGAAGACTAAGAAAACCTTTCCAACAAAAAGACTAAGAAAGACTGAGAGGAGATCAAGGAGACATGATGGATGACTAATTTCAACATGGTATCCTGGACTGGATGCTGGAACAAAAAAGGATGGTAGTGGAAAAAAAATGGCAAAATCCAAATGAAGTCTACAGTTTAGTTTATACCAGTGTTAATTTCTTAGTTTTGACCAAAGGCCAGAGTTGGTTATATAAGATATTAATATTAGACAAAGCTGGGTGAAGGATATATGGGAATTCCCAGTACTATCTTTGTAACTTTTCTATAAATCTAAAATTATCTCAAACTAAAGAGTTTTCAAAACAAACAACACCTTTTCTCTCCCAGCAGTTTTACCACTTCAGTATCTGGCAATTCTGGTTTTTTTTTTCTTAAGATTTTATTTTT